AAAGAAAATGAGAAAGATCTGGTGTGAACAACAATGTTTAAGAACTTAGTAAGTAAACCAGTATAAATTAAAAATGTTATTTAAAATAATAAAAACCAAAATGTAGAACAAAAACAAAACCCAAAACTTTTTCGTGTGATTTAGGTTAATGTTGACAAAACAAATTGGGTTTTGTGACAATAATTCGCATATGCTTTTTTTTTTTTGTCATACTGATTACAACCCCACATGTAACACCACTCATCCCACTTCCTTAATTCCTGTTTCCATTCACCCTTTCTTATCCCTTCTATCTACTGGATTTTGTCTTTGGAATATGATTCCTTTTTAAATCTTTCATTTTTTCCTCCCAGGGTGAAAAAAAGAGAAATTTGTTAGAAAAGCTACATATCATAGTTCAAGATGGGCCTATCCTAGGAGCAGAAGTAGAAGCAGCTGCTTAATCTTGTGTGGTTCATTGTTCTAAGGAGGGTACCTCCCTGGTGGTATTGTTCACCTATAGACTTTCTATTCTAGCCTGGCATTGACCTTACTTCTGTGGCTTAATTTTTAGCCAAAGAATATTGTTGTTGTTGTTGTTGTTATGTGCCGTCGAGTTGCCTGCGACTCATAGCGACCCTATGTACAACAGCCCTAAACTCCGCTCTGTCCTATGCCAATCGCACTGTCTCCGACACTCCCATCCCAATTATCCCAGTCACTGAATCAATCCACCTCATAGACGGGCTTCCCCTCCTGCGCCGTCCCTCCACCCTCCCAAGCATGATGTCCCTCTCTAAGGACCGGTCTCTCCTCATAACATGTCCAAAGTATGTTAGACGGAGCCTCAGAATCCTTGCCTCCAAGGAGCCACCTGGTTTAACCCTTTCCAGGACAAATCTGTTTGTTTTCCTAGCAGTCCATGGTATTCTCAATACTCTTCTCCAGCACCACAGCTCAAAGGCATCAATTCTCCTTCTATCCTCCCTGGTCATTGTCCAACTCTCTGATGCATAACAAGTGATTGCGAAGACCATGGCCTGTATCAGACGCAGCTCTTCATGGAGTTTGTATTGCTGTTGGCTCTGTTGTGATGTTACCTCTTTCATTTCTCATTGTGGTATTTGTATTTTCTTTTGTTAAGTATATCAGAGTTTGGCAAATCTTAGGGGAGTTTATTAATGCCACTTTTTAAAAAAAATAACTACTTTTTAGTCTTGTTATTTCTTCCTATTTTTCTGTTTTCAGTTTTATTTATTTCTGCTTTGATGTTTATGATTTCTCTTGGTGAATCCAGGCGTTTGAAAAATAACTACAGGTTATTTTTCTAATTTTTTTAGATATTTGGTTATGATGCTAATTTTAATCCTTTTTTGATGTGTGTTAGTTATTGTTAAATTATCCTCTGAGCACTGCTTTTATTGTGACCCCAAATTTTAAGTTGTATTTTCATTTTCATTTGACTCAAGAAGTTGAAAAGCTTTCTTTCATTACTTAGTAAATAGTTTTAAGCAGGACATTATTCCGTTTTCATGCAGTTTTCCTCTTGGTCTTCCTGCTTTCTATTTCTAATTATATAGCATGGGTGATGTAAGAAGATACTCTGTTGTCATCTGATATTTTAAAGTTTATTAAGCAGATTTTCTGTGTCTTTGTTGCATTTCTTTCTAGCTCTGTCCTTTTTTGAAAGTGGAATACAAAGTCTTCTATTTTTATTGTTGTTGACTGCTTTCTAGTTGAGCATGACTCATAGAGACCCTATGAATAAAAGGCTTGAAGCCCCTCGACAACTATGGACATTTATCAAAGTTCATAGAGTTTCCAGAGGCATGTTATTTAGGAAGTGGATGCTACTCCTTTTCTATTTTGTTATATGTCTTTATTATTTTCTTTGTGTGTGTGTGTGTATGTGTGAGAGAAGGTTTACTGATTTTCTTTGATTTTATCTATACTTTGTTACTATTTTCTCATGTTTATTTAGAATAGTCTATACTGTCTTGATATCATCTTGATATTTTGGAGCTTCTTTAGCTACCATATAACCATCTATTTTCTTTTTAACATTGCTTACAAGGTGATGTCTCTTGTTCCATGTTTTTAGAAGGCTGCTTATTCTGTTTTGAATACTTAAAGTATCCAAAAATCTAAGAAAAAAAATCCAAGGGTGATTTTGTTGTGTGTATCAATCTCAGCTTGTTATACTCGCTGCTGTATTCTCTATGTGAAGTATTCACTTTGTTATTTCTATTAAAATAGGTCTAATTTCACAAGTTCCACTAATTTTTATTTATCTTTAATGGTACTAATTTCACCATTGTAGTTGATGGACAGTTTTGCTGGATATAAAAGGTTCAGGATTGACAACTTTCCCCCCCACTCTTGATGTTTTATGAGGGGGATTAAAAACCCCCAAGAGGAATGGAAGGGAAAAAGGACAGATATCAAGAAAGAGGAGAAAAAAAGACTAATGAAAAGAGGTGATGGAGGGGAAGAAAGGAGATGGATGAATAGGGCAGTGGTAGGTGACTTGTCTGATACCCAGTGGTTTCCTTGGTTCATTGGGATGATAATGGGTGGGAACATGAGATTCATGATGTGTGTCCAAACATGGTGTGTTGTGTAAATGGGGAGAGACACTTTCTTGGTCTCAGTGGGGCAGTAATGTGTTGAGTGGGTGAGTTTTGTGGGTGTTCTGCTTGCTTCAATGACATGTAGGAAAAGGAGAGTTCACCTCCTTCTGGTTGTCAGCTACTGGAATGAGCTTTGTTTGAATCCTGGATGAGCAGAGCCAGTTACCTGTTTTCTGCTCTTATCAGAATGTTCCTTACCATATAATTAAATAAATCCATTCTCTGCTGAGCTGTTTGACAGTTCACTCTGTATGTCACCTTTTGTTCGGCTTTTATTCCATTTTTTTTCCCCTTCTCATCTGTATCTGATCTATATCCTTTACCCTTTCTTGAGAGGCTCAGGCTTTCGGAAGTAATATCCTCACTCATTTCACTTGGTTCTGGGTCTTTGTTGTAGAGAGTCTAGGTAGCTTATCTGTCTATTCTGTTTGCCATTTTGCTTATCTCTCTCTGCAGCATGAAGTTAAACATTGTCTATGTCTTGGCAACCAATGCTTTCATAAGATTCAAAATAACAAGAACAAAACCCTGAAGAAAGAAATAATTCCTTTACTTAATTAAAATTAATATAAAACAAAGTGTATGAATGATTAAATGAAAACCCATTATGATCTGTGAACTTTCAAAAAACCAAAATATATAAGAAATAAGTCATAAAAGAAAATCCTGAACACTCATGTTATTGTTAGATTTAGCAGATGAAATTGTTTTAATAAATACATTAACAAAACTTGAGAAATAGGAGTTAAATTACTTTACACATTTGTTATTAAAGAGGTACATTTAAAGTCATTAATAAAATTTTTTGTGAGCTGGTAATAAACACTAGTCTGTAGACTACCTTTTGAGTAGTACTGCCTATCTCCCCCTCCCCCTTTTTTTGATTAGGCAGCCAGCTAAGCTGCATTTGTGTTTTATAATGGAAAAGAATTGGTCTCTTTTTCCTGACATTGAAATCAGATTCATGTGTAATAATGTTGATCTGGGTGTTCAAGAGGTTTCAGTTCCCTTATTCTGGACTTTCTTTCAGTCTTGTGTTTTGATTTTAAGTGATTGCTTTCCCTGTTATCTGAAGCAAATTCTGCATAGTTAATGTTATGAAGCTAAGATTAGTAGAAATGTGAGCTGGTAATTGCAAATAAAACTTAAAAAAATTGTGTCATAAGTTGTTTGGAATTTCTTCTGTTTAATTTTGTGTCTGAAAATGTATCTGTTGAGACCCTTTGTGTAACAGGAGCAAGGACAACTTGGATCAGCCAGAGTTGATCTCTACTAACTCCACAAGGATAAACTATCTCATCTTACTGCTATACTGGGTCTGAAATCTGTTGCAATAGCTTACAGTGCACAAGGAACCATAGTCATGATTACAGGGTTCATTAGGGAAGTTAATTAGCAGGATACAATTTCTGTTGGCAATATGATATAATCCTTCAGTCAGGACAATTTCTGAAGCATGCTTCCAGGATCTTCAGCCTTCAGCCTCATGGCATTAGGCTGGTGTTACAAAGCTCTTGGTCCTGCCACTTATGACATCTCCCCCTCCAGCCATCCAACAAACATGGGTGAAGGCTCCTAGATCAGGTTCCATGGGGTAGCAGTGCCAGTGTCTCACGTCAGGTTTCTGGTTTGCTGCCGTATCTGCTTTTGCTCTCCTGTAGATCTGGCAGGTTCAAGTATCTCTGGTGCCAAAGGCTGTGTACTGCATACCTACTTCTTTACTGGTGGTAAGATCCTCAAGTTCTGCAGTTGAATCTACTCAGTTTAATGGCCAGTCTGCCAGTCCCCCTGTGGATAGACTAACATGCCCTCTTTGCATGTTTGTGCCCATCCATATGACAAAGTCAGTCAATGGCTGCGAAAGCCTTTGTGAACAATAAACTTTTACTCCAAAACAAGCTTTTTCTGAAAATAGATTCTTATTTTCAGAAATTTTTCCTTCTAGGCATATAATTTGGTTAGTATTTGTGTTAGCTATGAAGCATTAATCTGATTTTAAGTCTTTGTTAGGGAGGCGTCAGTTTGTTTTTGCCTTTACCTCAAGTCCTAGAAATACTGCCAACACATTTGTGTTTTTGAAGTGCTAAAGGGAGTTAGCATTTGGTGTGGAGGGAATAGGAAGTTTTACTTAAATTATGTTGAGGATACATAAGAAAAGTACTTTTGTAGTTTTATTGTAGAACAATTATTTTGTTTCTATAACTTCAAGCAAATAATATCAGTGATCTGTAAAATTTAAATTCTAATTTAAAAATTATTTGTGTTGACAAAATTAGCTTTTTTTCAAATAAACTTAAAAACTAGATTTCTGAAGTTATTTTTGCATGAATATTTGTAAGTAATTGTCTGGGTGGAAAGAAATGCATACCGTTTTTGTTGGTTTTCCTCCAGGGTAATTCTTCTCCTGACATTGCTTTTGGATGAAAGTATGCTCTTTCCACATTAGAAGATGGTAACCTTGGAGAATAACCATGGAGAAGGGGATGAGTTCAGGAGAAGGGCTGGCTTCCAGATCATCTCAGGTTTCAACTGTTAAAGTAATAGCCAAGGAGGTGGAAACAGAGCAGACTCGTAAAGAGAAACGAGGGGGCTTTGTATTGGTCCATGCAGGTAAGCCCACAGCGGGTGAGGGAGAAGGGGAAAGTAATGTGGATTTTTCCCCCCTTGACTTATAGTATATGGAGAATTGAATTTCACCTCTGGGGGCTGCATTCTGCTCATGCAGAGATGGTACCAGAGTTTGTTGGACTTGTTCTTGTGAGAGCCTTCCTGCTCTGCAGGTGGAAGAGCTCATGGTGTCACTTCTCCCTGTGTTTTCATTTCCCTCATCTGTTATTTGCATTTGCCCCATATAAACACTCTGCCTTGGAGTCGATTCTAACCTACAACAACTCTACTGTCTTAGGCTGTAAATCTTAACAGGATACTGCTCATCTTTTTCCTTAGAAGTGGCGGTGGATTCGAACTACTGGAATAGGCAGTCTTTTGATTACCAGTGCAGTCCATTTTGCCATGATTTAAAGTATGGTTTGTGTTGTTTTAAAATAAAAATACTGCTGGAAAAATTTTATTGTACTATATGGGAAAGCCCTGGTGACCGACCTAGTGTTAAGGGGGTCAACCTGAGGCGTCGTTTGAATCCTCCAGCTGCTCCATAGCAGAAAGATGGGAAGACTCCTGTGTGATTTACAGCATCTGAAAACCTACAGGAGGGTCAGCTGTGAGTCAGTTCTGACTTGATGGCACATAACAGCATTGGCTGGTTATGGCCAAGTTTGAATATTCTGTAATTTAAAGCTTGTTAATAACCATATTAATATTATACATAAGAAATAGTAAGACTAGAGAATTTGATTGACTTTAACCATTGTCTTTGTTATCTTGTGTCTCTATAACAAAGATACCTCTAGTGAATGACTTTATTGTCGTTGTGTACAGTGTAGTTGAAACTGACCCATAGAAGACCCTCCAGCAGGTTTTTAGAGGCAGTAAGTTGCATGGGAGGAGATTGCCCATCTTTCTCTCACGGAGCAGCTGGTGCATTTGAACCCTGTGCCTTTGGGATTGTAGTGCAGCTTCTTGCCACTAGGCTATTAGAGATCTCCTAGTGAATAACTTTATTTAGCAAACATGAATTTATTCTCTTAGAGGTTAGGAGGCTATAAGTCTAAATTCAAGGTGCAGCCTCTAAGAGAAAGCCCACCCTCTCTATATATCAGCTGTGAAAGAAAGCCCTTGTTTCCTTCAGCATCTGCAGGCCAGGCCCTCTTTGATATTCTCATGTGTCCTTTGCTGTGTCAAGGAGCTTTCTTATGCAGGGACCCTGGTTCAAAAAAGCACACTCCAATCATGGATATAACTAAGTTCTTTCTTGATATTAATCAAGGGCCTCTATTTTTCTGTGCTATTTCCTCCCATTTTATCGCTAACTCACTTGTGTTGTCACTGTTAGATGCTGACCCTTTGAACAATAAATCTGAGCCCTGTTCCATCCTGCGTCATCCTCACAACCTCTGATTCACTTGAACCCATTGCTGAAGTCACTGTGTCAGACTACCTTATTGAGGGTCTTTCTTTTGCTGTCCCTCCAAGTATGATGTCCTTCTCCAAGGAATAGCCTCTCCTAGCAACATGCCCAATGAAATTTTGTCATCTTTGCCTCCAAGAAGCTCTCTGGCTACTCCACAGTTCAAAGACATTAATTCTTATACTGTCAACCTTATATTCATTGTCTAGCTCTTAGCAGCATAACAAGTGGTTGAAAAGACCACTTGAATGAATTAGACAAGTCTTAGTCTTCAGACTAAAGTCATTGCTTCTCCCTGGTCCCTAACTGCTGATTTTCCCAGTGCAATACATTTCCTGACTGCTGATACCAAGTATATTGATTGTAGATACATGTGAAAGGAAATTGTTGACAGTTTCAATCTTTTCTCCATCTATCATGATGCTGCCTATTGGTCTGGTGGTGAGAATTTTCATTGTGAGATGCAGTCCATCTCATAATGACTTTTAATTGGGTGTCTAAGGCTGTAAATTGCACTGAGATTGCCCTACTTTCTCCAGATCTGCTGTTAGATTCCAGCTGTCAGAGAGAAGTGGTCTCTTGGCTAGCCATGCAACTTCCTACAGAGTAGGCCTTCAGAGAGAAAAAAGTTAGTCTATCCACACTTCTAGTGGGCTCTGGGAGCTTACTGCTAAAGAGTCGCTCTGCCAACCAAAAGACTGGTTCTAATCCACCAGCAGTTCTGTGGGAGAAAGATGGGTAATGTCTGCCCATGTGATTTACTCTTGAAAACCCACTGCTGGGTCACCACTTAGGAATCATTCCAACTTGATGATATATTATTACAACAACAAGCCATACCCTTTTAGGATTGGAATGGAATTAAAGTGTGTTGTAGTCCACCATTAATTTTTTTACAGCTCTTTGCTTCTCACATAACTTCTGTAAGATAAAACATGCATGTATTTTGCTGCTGTTGTATGTATCATCAAGTTGGAACTGACAGTTCATCCTGTGAGCAGGTTTTCAGAGGCTGTAAATCACACAGGAAGAGATGGTCTGTCCCTCTTCTGGAGCAGCTGGTGAGTTTGAACCATGCTTAGCAGTGAAACAACCATAGAGCGAGATTAGAGCCTGCTGAGAAGCCTAGAACCATGCACCACACAGTCTGTTGCTCTCAATTGCCACCTCCCTACTTTGGAAGATTGTGAGATCTGCTGTCACTGAGTACCTTTGAGTTTTAGAGCAATGTAGTTCTGTACAGTTCTCTGCACAACAGGTGATTCTCTTTCGTCATTTTGACTTGCCGAAGTTCTAAATCTCCAATCTGTTTGGTCCTTTGCAGAGAGAAGGATGACTGAGTCTCTTGTTACCTTTCTTCAGCCTGTTAAAATCTGTTAAAATGGGGTGGAAACAAAAATAATTTTGGAATTAGGTAACAATTTTAGTTGGTTCTTTTTAGACAAACGTTGTTCTGCCTGACCATTATTAGCCTTTGTCTGTATGTATCAGGGGTGACCTAGAAGTGTTTTAGACTCTAATTTAGAAAGATCTACAAAATACTGTTTGAATGCTCTTTTTTAAATAAGTGATTCTACAGAGAAGTAGGTAGATCTGTGGAATAACCAGTTAGAAGTAGTCCTCGGCCTACAACCCCTGCCTTCACACTCTTAGTTTAGTGTTCTTTTAGTACATCTCATATCATACTGGCCATCTTAGAGTGAACATTTAGGAAATGTGCAAAATATCCTGAAATTTCTTACAAACAACTATATAGAGCTTTGGGTTAGCTGGGAACATTTTTTATTTTCTCTGACTAACATCAGAGAACATCAGTAGTGAGAACAGAACAAAGGAAACACTGCATGGTTCAAAATTGAGAAGGGTGTACACCAGGGATGTCTCCTGCCTCCATACCTTTTCGATTTATATGCAGAACAGATTATCTGGAGGCTGGGCTCTATGAAGAGAAATACGGCTTCAGGATTGGACGTAGACTCATCAACAGTTTGTGTTATGCACGTGACACAACCCAGCTTGCTGAAACTTGAGGAGGACCTGAAGATTTGCTGCAGAATATCAAGGACTGTAGCCTTCAATATGAATTGAAGCTCAGTGTCAAGAAAACAAAGATTCTCACCACTGGGCTCATTGGCAGCATCATGATAGGTGGTGAAGAGTTTGAGATTGTTGACAGCTTCAGTTTGCTTGGCTTTACAATCAATACTCTTGGTAGGAAATCAAAAGCCAGGAAATTAAAAGACGAATTGCATTTAGAAAGTCTGCTGTCAGAGACCTCTCCAAAGTGCTGAAGAGCAACAGTGTCAGTCTGGAGACTAAGGTGTGCTTGATTCAGGCCATGGGCTTTGCAGTTACTTGCTGTGCATCAGAAAGCTGGACAATGACTAGGGATGATAGAAGAAGAATCAATACTTTTGAGTTGTGGTGTTGGAGAAGAGTATGGAATATATCATGGACTGCTAGGAGAACAAAAAATTTGTCCTAGAGAGGGTGAGACCAGGCTTCTCCTTGGAGGCAAGGATTCTGAAGCTTTGTCTAACATACTTTAGACATGTTGCAAGGAGGAACAAGTCCTTGAAGAGGGACGTCATGCTTGGGAGGATGGAGGGACAGCACAAGAGAGGAAACCCCTTGATGAGATGGATTGATTACAGTGACTGGGGTAAACGGGGTAGGTGTGTCAGAGACAGTAAGATTGGCACAGCATAGAGCAGGTTTTCGGGCAGTTGTACCATAGGGTCGCTATGAGTTGCAGGCACCTCGATGGCACATAACAACAACAACATCATCAGCAAGCTGGACAATGACTAAGGGTGACTGAAGGAGATTTGATGCCTTTGAGTTTTGGTGCTGTTGAAGAGTCTTGTACATACATATCATGGACCGCCAAGAAAACAAATAGGTCTGTCTTGGAGAGGGTGAAAACTAAGTTTCTCCTTGGAGGTTAGGATTTTGAAGCTCCATCTCACATACTTCGAGCATGTAGCCAGTCTTTCAAAAAGGACATCATGCTTGGAAGGGTAGAGGGACAGTGCAGGAGAGGAAGACTCCAGATGAGATAGATTGATACAGTAACAGGGACAATGAGGGTTGGCATGTCAGTGGTTGAAACCAACAGATGCCAGTTTAGGGTTAGCAGTCCAATTCCCTATAGGCTCCTTCCCCAGAGCTCCCTAATTAGTAGGAAAAGATGTAGGCTATGTCAGGAGATTGTGTAGATTGGGGGTGATTCCTTCTAAATAATTAGAAGATAAAATAGAGTGATTATGTAGAAGTTTATATCTTGTGTGATTAATGGGAAAAATTCAGTTCCTCATCCATTGTGTCTGTTTTTTCTTTTTATTCTGTGTTCTTTTTTAATTTTATTAATTTTAAAGAACATTTACAGAGAATTTGAATTTCCATTCATTCATTGTTGCACTTTTTTCTCTACCCCCGCCCCCCAACCCAGTTTGCTCCTCTCTTCAAAAAGCAAAAGATAAACTTCTTCATTGGTATACAATTCCCCTGACCCCTGCACTCCACTATGCAACCTTAATTCTGGATTCCTGTGAAGCTAACGGTTTAGTTCAAACTACAGTCA